AAAATTGTACAATTTGCTGAGGCTGCAAAAGAAATTTCATACAATAGCACCAAACAGTCAATAATTACACAGCAATAACACAGCATTTCACATGTTTTTCTGCATGCTCCTCTTGCTCGTCTCTCGATCTCAATATTTGCCTGCACTTGTGCGGCCTTTTTTGCGTCCAATCACTGTGCCAGCGGATTGTGAGATGAAGTTTGCGCGATAGTTTTCTCACCCATCAGTGACCAGCACTGGTCAAAAAGAGCGCGCGCGCACTGGAGATGATTTGAAAAGGAACTGTGAGTGTTTTTCATGGGATTTCACATGATGGGAAAGAGCGCTGTGGTGAAATATTTTAAATGAATTGCGCACTGGTGTCAATACATCATCTGTGATTTGATACAAAATACCCTGTATTTTTCCAGTCTCAAAACCATGTGAGAAATGTTCCCCTGGGAAATTGTGGGCAATCCAATTGACTGTTAGCACCTTTTTCAGGTGGATTTATGGCTGTGGCAATTTTGACGCTCCATCCTGGCCACTTTGGATCAATCTTCTCGCCTTGCTTCAGTTTTATTGACGACGCATGGTTTTTTTGTCCGGGACAACGCGATGATTCCATTGAAATGATCGGCGATGTGTTAATTAAGTGTGGAAGTTTTTAACCAACTATTGATGGCTTCTCAAGTTGAAAAATATCTCACTGTGCAAATTGATCTTTAATTCAAATGACCTCATTGCTTATTTGCTGGTCAAAGTTGCACTGCACCGCCGAAAATCCATCTTTTGTCTTCGCGGTCTTCTTGGACGCAATATTGCAAATCAATTTGCATAATCATATTCTGAAGCATTTGATTTTTTGGTTCAATTAACACCTCGATGTAAATCAGTCTTTAAGAGACTTTGAGAAGCTCCCGAAAGTGTAATTCTCGGGCTTTTATCGCTGGGTGTGAAAGACAATAAAGTTTAATGCTGAAAAATCTTCCGCTGCCATGGGATTTTCATCCGCGGCGGAAGAGTCAATTGGGTGAGTCGCGAGATGAAATTTTCGCACCATAAAATTTTTCGACTCACTGGCAAATAAATAAGATCCATTGAGTATATCTTCTCTACAATTCTGTTCTGAAAAAAGCGCTCTGTCGGTGCATACCAATTAGTTACATGTATAAAAATTTTAATGAGTGTAATAAATCCCGTCGCCAAGAGGATGGCGCGGCAGAAGAAGGTGTAATTGTATTTAATAAGGGGTGTTTGTGTGTGAAGACGATTAGTTCAATGATTATGGAGTTTTTAGATTAATTAAAATAATATTTGGGGAATCTCTTGGCGGCGAATAGAACACTTCTTCCTCCGTGTCTTCCATTCATCCATCAATGGGTCTAATTTACAGCATTTGTTCACGCCAGGAAGTTGAGAGATTTCCAGCATCTCTTTTTGCCCTTCCACACACATCCAGCATCCCAATGACTCTGAGCACATCTTTTCTGAGATTTCTTTTTAAATGCCCCATTCCGGAGTGTGAAAAAAGTGCCGCGCTCTTGCGTTGAGGAGAGTGATGAGGATGTAAAAAAGCCACCATCCAAATTACCATGCTAATTTAATTTGACTGGTGACCAAACCCAGAAGATCCAATTCTCAATTGCTCTCTCATCGCCGCGCGCCTTTCTTCCTTTTGGCGACTGTGAGACACACACAATCATCTCAATTGTCTCCCATTTTCTCTCCCACAGCAAATAACATTTTCCACGCTCATGACTCGGCCGTTTTTCCCATCCACACTGATGATAAATACATAAAACATCACAGCGCGGTCGCCAGGTGAGTTTCCATTGCGCGCCGCGCGGAAAATGTGCGACATTTTCACGTGACATGAGAGCGTTCATTGGCTGAGCCGATAATAAAAAGTGATCTAATGGAAAAACGTGAATTTCAACACAACCTCTTGAGACAATTTCCATTCAAACACGAACAACTCGCCTTTTTTCTCTCCACCCAGAGATGGAAAAACATCTCAGAAATTGATTGGGAGGCGGATAACTCATGGAAATAATTACAGATTAACTTGTGTTTCTCTCAAAATCACATCTATTTGATAAATTTTCTGAAAAATCGTGTCATTTTTGCACAAATTTACTCTATTTTCAATGCGAAGACAAACTTAAATCTCGTTCAACATGCATAATTCTCTCTGGTGAGCCAAAAACACCACTGAATTTTCACGGTTCAGCGGATTGTCCAACAATTGCGGTTGCGGCGCCATCGGAGCCTCGGGGAAAAAAAAGGCAAGGATGACCGCGAGAAGTTCATGCGGAGGACCCAGAAGAGTGGCGCAAAGTCGCGAGAAAAATCAATTCAATCCGCGCCACACCAACTAAGTAATGACTTTCACGTAGCAGCGCCGATATCTTGCATCATTTCAATTTGTATTTTTGGAATTGCTCATGTCCAATTGTGTTATGCCGTTTGGATGTTGCAGGTTGCCACGAGTTCTCTTTCACATTCACTCCCAATTGCTTTGGGGAGATTCACTTGGCGGCAAAGTGGAAAGAATTCAACCGTCTAATCATGATTGCGTGCGATTAATTGTTTCTTTTGTGCGCCTCTCTTTTTTCAGCTCTTCAGCATCGTGTGTCTCTCTCAATTTGCATCCTGAATTGACCATTTACATTCACGATGACGATTTTCCAGGGAAGAGGAAGGAAAGTGTATTTGGAAGTCGCCGAATGTGCGCCTCGAAACCTTGAGCTGAGATGCTGATAATCTCAACAGACGTGATTAATTTCCGAAGTAGCCAAATTCCCCCCAAAAAGAGACTCTAATTAGTGAGCAAAATTGACATGAGTCAGAAGTGTTTCATATTTGGGAAACTCGCCATAATTCAGTGCTAATAAATACGCCACTTGGACATTGAATTCCGCACAATATGAGTGAATAGGACAGCGAAAAGTGTGATAAGGTTCACTGCATTGCATCACATTTGGCCACAAATGCGGCGAGATAATGTACAATTGACCAGAAATTCACAAGACCTCCAAGAGGCTGAACAAAAAGCAATTCACTGAGTAATTACCATTAAACGAGGCACATGAAAAAAATACCTGCGTGCATTGCACTGTTGACTTCTTTTTCGCCTCTTTCTGCCTCTTTAATTCAACCCCGCACAGAGGAGAAAAAGCACTTTTAATTGTTACTCCTTGTGGCAATAAATTAATGCACTTGTGCATTGTGTCGCTCTAGAGTTCTTTTGTCAAAGCGAACGCACATTTCTGGCGAGTTCTTAGTCTCGCGCATGATCTAAGGACACTACACTTGAATTTATGAATAGAATTGCTATTATTCATAACTCTTAAGTAGCTGATCTCTCAGAGATTGTCTCTTGGTGGCGCGAGGGCACTTAGTGGAGGAAATTGCAGTGTGGCGCGGTCGGAAGAGATGGTGTTGGCATGATAATGCCAACATATGCCGAAGGATTGCGGACTCTAGGATGGACGAGACAGTGATTGAAGAGGTGTTTCTGGAGCGCATATTGCTTCAGAGGAAATTTCTCGGAAATTTTCCCACGAATCAATTATGGGCAACTTCTGGATCAATGCATGTCTCTCTCGCGGTTGGCTCAATAGCCATCCAATCCTCAATAGAGTGTCAATTGTACGACTTTTCTGCGGATGGGTATTTATTAGTCAGTCAAAAGGTATTGCAAGAAGCTCTTGGTGAGATCTCACGTCTCTCCGGGAGGCGATTTATCTCCACACAGACTTCTCACAAACTTCTGTGCATACAATTCCCCTGAGTGCATTGGAAGATTATTGGGTGTGAATCTTCTTTGTGGCGCGCATGATTGCAAAGTGAAATTCTATATAGCGACGAGAGGCTTCAATCTGTGGCGCTTGGGATGCAAAGTGTCCCAACTGGCAATTTCTCACTATATGGCAAACGGCAGACCCATTTGAGCATCACGAATTGCTGGGGCTCCACATTGCGAGAGAGGATAAAGGATGATTTATCAGAATCAATTCACATGAGACTATTTATAGCATTGTTCAACATTGCGGCTATTTTGAGTGTGACTTTCAATCACTTCTGCCTCGTCATATTTGAGTAATTAAAATCAATTTTAATTGCATAGCACGACGCGCAGCATTTCATTGCGAATAACAAAGATGTAATTGAATTTGGAGGAGCGACGGAAGCTTTACATGCCATTCTTGAAGTCCTTCCCGAATCTCCCAAAAGGTGGGTCACAGTTGAGGAATGTCTGTCTTGGTCTCCAAAGTGTGCTCTTCTAAGCAAAGAATCGCGTCTCATGCGCGCACACGTAATTTATTCAATGGCTTTGGCAAGTGGCACTTCTGTGATGGTGTATTTTTGTGGGTTCTCTCGCTTGAGCAGCGCGACTCTTCCAATTATTTGTGTAAATTCACTGTCTGCCACTCCAGAATGTTGGTTCTTTTGGGTGATTTATTGGTAAATAAAGTACTCAATTCAGGGTCTCATTCTTCACGGTCCATCTCTCTCCTTTGAGGCCTCGCACATATTTTCATATACAGTGCCGCGCGCGCATATGGGAAAATGTCGATTTACTCGAAAAGCCACTAAAATCACCTTCTTGATCACTTTCACATCAATTCTGCAGCATCTTCTTCTTTCACTTTAATCTGATAATTTGTGTAAAGTTGCCATTTAACAGTCCCTCTCTTCTCTCTGCATGTAAATTTCACTCTAATGAAACTTCAAAGTTGAGCATGGCGAAGTGGGGATGCGCGCACAGGTATAAAGAATTCATGCTTAATTAGTCCAATAATTGAATAGTCAATTTGCATGGCTTGCCCAAGTGATTATACTGCAAAATGCAATTACATAATTGCCAAAGTTGTCTTTTCGGCTCTGAATATTAAATATTGTGTGCGATTTGCTGGGTAAACGGGTTCGTCGCTTAATTAGCAGGTTGAAGTCTTTTGTCTCTGGGCGGAATTTTTCCGCTCAATATTCACAGGGTGGAAATTGATGCGACTTACCTTGAATAAGTCCTCAATTTTGATGCCGTCACACAATTATCTGCCAAGGGATGGACACAAAATATCAATGAGAAGTCACTCGCGAACGTGATTTCAATAGTTAAAGCACCATCATTCGCGATTGCCTTGCGTATTTCAGTCCACTATCCATTATCACATGAGATTTGGCGGAATGTGTCTCACTGTGTCTGCGATTTCTGTGGAATTTGATCAACTTTCTGGCACCTTCAGGCTCTAATTGGACGGTTGAAGTGTAGTGAGATTAGGAGTGGATCCATTTGGCACTCGGATCGCGGCCTGAGCATCTGTCCCAACACGATAATCACAGAGTCACTCGTGAATTGATTCACACTGTCAATTTTCGGGCAGTCAATCTGGGGCCATCCGGTGATCTAATTGCAGGTGAATTGGTAAAATTGGATTGCTGTGGAGTTCAATTAGAGCTCAACTGCTAAATCCACAGTGGTGAGGAATCGGATTGTGACTCATTAATTAAGCGTCTCAATTGATCACTTTGATTGTTATCACTTTGTTTGGAAAAACAACAACAACAGGCGATCCTCAGTGAAGACACTCTGTCCTTTGGCGGATTGCGAGTCAATTTTGGGGGGTGAATCACTGGGGAGAAAACACACCCTTCGCGCGATCCACGATCACAGCGAGAAGCAAAACAACCGCGATCAGTGATCGAGAGCGCGCAGCAAAAAGTCAAGTGATCGTGAGCACGAACGAGAGCGAACTGAGTGGCAGAGTCAACATTGGTGTGCTGTGTAGTGCCGAAGAGCGACGGTTCGGCTTGGGACTTCTTGCAAAACTGGTCGTGCCCGAGTCACTTGGGTGAGATCACATAGGTAGGGGAAATTGTAGCACCAATCCGTTGGTATTACACCTGTAAAAGGCGGAGTTGAGCGGATGTGAACTATTAGAAATCGGGAGGTCTCAAGATCCCACCAGCAGACAACTGTTCCAGGTGTGTGTATGCTTTTTTTCTCTCTTCTGCCTCACGCTTTGATTCGATTCCGGAGCTCGGATCGCATTTCTGACGTGCTTCGCGCTTGGCGCTCTTGTTTACTTTTCAGAACATCTCATCACGTTTTCAAGGGTTGGACGGCTTTTCTGGGGGAAATTCCTCAACTGCGCGGTAATTCTTTAACCTATTTGACAGCGAAGAGGTGAGCAAAATTCTCATTTAAGTGCTTAATTCGTAATAGAAAACCAAATTTTCATACCATGTATTTTTGGAAAACCTTAATTTTACCTGGATTATTTAGTGTTGTTTGTATTTTGTCCTTCTCGATATTTTAATAATAATTATTATACAGAAAAAGATTTATTTTATCAATTCGGAGTAAAATTAATGGGAAGTTTGTGCGATTTATGCTGGTTTTGTATTATCGATTTGCTTTCTCATTAATATATTTTACCAATTTACAACAGAAGGAGTAAATTTGAGTCAATAAAGGATGTTTGAGTTTCTCAAAAGTCCAGAAAAATGGGGCGAAGATTTCGATAATAAAGTGACTTTTGCTGAATGGGACTTTCTTAGTCCGAAAAACTACCTGCTTTGCATGAAGATGGTCAAGTAAAGGACACGAAGAATGCCATCTAAGCTCATTATCGGTGTGTTACGGTTCTGACCATCATCCAAGTTAACAGCATTGTGCGTCCTAATCTTCACGGGTGTCCAACAAGGGGTGCACAACAGTGAGTTACTGCCAGGACTCTTCGTCCAGTGTGACCCAAAACCATTACGAGCTGACCACAGAGTGGACTTCTTCAGTGAGCGGCCGCAATTAGCATCCATAAATTTGCGGACAGACCTCAATCAGCCCTTTCTTCCACTCCTTTTACCTTCTTCAACCCTTTCACTCGAAGTCATTCTCATGCAAATACGACGGAATGCTGTCGATGAAGACTTTAGCGATTCCTTGGCAAATATCTCTCTCTCTTCTTTCAGACACTTTCTTCCTGGATTTCTGTTTTATTTCTGCCTTTTTTGCTATCTCTCGGAATAGGAAGATGAGGAAGAATGTCACCTCTTTAGCCTCCAAAAATTCCTACTTCGTATATTGTCACTCCTTTTCAGCACATTCTTCGCAACCCAAAAGCGTCCCTGAGAAAAAAAGGGGGCAAATAAAATTAACTTTTTCATTTCATGTTGATTTTTCGCATTTGCCAGGTAACACAAGATGACACTGAGAGTGCAAAATGTCATTTTCTAAAACTGCGCATGTTTATGTTCTCGGAATTTGCCACCCTCATTTTGAAGGTTGTCGTGTAAACCAATAAAAGGGAGAAAGCAGTTCTTTTTTAGGGGGAAGGAATATGATTTTTTTTGGCAAAAAAACATTTCTGCAAATTTACCGTTCTTTGGAGAAATGTCGAAGTTGGAAAGAAAAAGATTGCATTGCGCAAAACGTGCATAGACATGCCAAAATTGGTGTCAATAAATCCCAAACTGCGGCAAGACAATGTCCTGTCGTGTTGCTCTTTTATTGGCACAATTCAGTGAAGAATTTCGGTGCGTCTTTTATGGGTTGTTGGCCCATAAATGGGGTTGTAATATTTGCAGAGAGAAAATGTGCAAAATTACAGTCGTGTGTTGGTCTTGAGGCACTTTTTCGTGCCAATTGCTGTGCGAATTAGATGTGTTTTGCCGCGTGGAAAATTTTGGACATTGACAAGAGTTTTTGGGGTGCAATTTGTAGAAAAAGCGACACTTTTTGCACGGCAAAGAGGTCCAATTTTGACGACACATGCAAAAGTTTTTAAGGTGCGACAAAAGGAGAAACTCTCTTAAGTTCTTGCGCATTCCATAAAATGAGTAACGGATCGTCGAGTAGAATGCAAAATATCGCAGTAAAAGGTTTTATGCAAAAGAAGGTACAAAATAGAGTCTCTTAATATTTCTGCCATTTGCGCAGGGACAATAAAATAAAATCGGGTTCGTCGCTTTGTGGTGCATCGAGGTCTTTCCGCCTTTTTCTCGCTGGCCACTAAAGTGAATCAAGGGAAATGTTATCATAGAATGCGCATAAATGACTTCTTGTCCATGTGTTTTTGTGCTGTCCAACTCCTTCCCAATGGCAAATTATGACAACTTGGATGAGTCGGAAAAGAAGTCTATATGGGGAATAAGACACGGTGTATAAAGTATATTTATGCAAAAATGGAGGCAATGGATACTGAGAAAAGGCAACGATGATGTTCACATGATGCACATAAAAGTGTCTCTTGGTGTTTCCTTATCATGCAAATTTATTGTATAGCCATATGAGTCCTCTTCTTGCTGCCCATGTCGATGTTTTCTCGTCCACGACAGCAACTTTGGAAGCGTATAGAAGCTCTCGGGCGGTCAATCGTGCTCATCTCTTATGCCAATTTTCTTAGCTCAACTTCTCCACACAGTCTGACCTCCTTCTCTCTCTCCCCCAACTTTGAAATTCCCATGGGGAAAAACGGCGCGCAGCCAATTTATCGCGGGTGTTTGGGAAGAAATTGACACGCAGCATTCGCAGAGTGCGCGAACGCATGAAAAACGATTCTCCGGGGAGACACACAAGGAATGGTATATTGAGTGTCAGGAGGAATTGTGTGCTTTTTCATCTTGCAATTTGCCCAAGTTCAACCCTCGCCGCGTGCGGAGTTCACAGATCCAATTTGTCAGTTTCACACACAGAACAGCAAATTACTGCGGCGCAAGGAACTGCCGAGACACTCCAGCAAATGTATAACATTTTAATCGGGCCTTATTTATGATGCTGCGCAACACTCTGCCAGACACAGAGTGTGCATTTCGCCGGCAAAAATGTGGCGCGGTGGAAATGAATCGATTTTTCTTGCCAAAATTGAGATGCAACTGAGCGAATTTCCTCAGGAGATTCCATTGGTGGCGAAGCTGGAGGAATGCCATGTCAACCGAGGGGTTTCTTACCCAAAGCTCCAGTTTGAAAGCATAAAATCATATTTACTGCAAGAAAAGCATGTTGCTTAGAGATGTTTGGAGCGATTCGCTGACAAATTCGCTAGAATGTCAAACTTTTACATGTTTGCCGTATAACATTCTTGTGTTTTACTGGGAATCGCTACAGTTATCTTGGAAGTTGAATTTTCACAGAGAAGCTTGTCAAGCATTGGCTGAAAAAATTGTACCTTTTAAGCAAATAATGGCAATTAAGCAAATTGGCGAAATTCTTAAAATTTATTCACCGATTTCCAGTCACTAAAGCGATGTCTTTCTGACCCCTCGACAGATGACAAGAAGCTGAAGTTGCCGTGCAAAGAAGTGTAATTGAATCACATGCATTTCTCGCGACTTGACAAATAACATCGTTCGCCGGAGATGTTAAAATTAATTAAACCAAATAAATTTCAATTAGAGATTTCCCATTGGGCTCCGTGTCTGCGACTTCTCACCAATAAACTGCAAATCGCTGGCGAACACGGTAAGGCACATGGAGTGACGAGTGAAAAAATTTGAGCAATGGGTCAAGTGTGAATCTCCAGAGAGAGAGAGATGGGAGAGAAAGTTGATCTATGCGTATTTAATTACAGTAAAAATTGTTCACAGATTTCACTTTTCAAGCGAAGAGACACCAATTTTTGCCCAAGCAAGGGCTAATCTCTCGATGGTTTTTGTGCAGATGAATTACTGGCCGCGCTCGCACGGGAGGGAAATTATACTGAGAGGCTCTCGTTTTTCCACTGCACGTCTTGGCGGAGATCCAATTATTATGTTAAAGAAGATGACGACTGAAAGGAGCCGCTAAATTCTGCGCAACACTCATTATCTGCCAATAAAGTGAACAATTCAACCACATATAAGAGAGTATATTTTTGTAATCGCCCATAAATTTATGATTTGTGCTGGAGAGTGCAGAAGTGAATGAGAGAAAACCTCCTGAATTAATTTCTTATATTCACATTTTATATAACATCCGATTGAAATGTGATAAAATTAAAACCATAGTCATAGCAGACACTAAATCGTGCCGTACGTGCCGCTCAAGTAGTTCACAAGTTGCTAACATTACAAGGAAGATCACATTCAGAAGGTGGCCAGCAGAGCTGCGCAGAGTGATCTGATTCAGCTAAGCATGGACTTTTCTATTATTGCCATTATTATTGTTATTATTGCTGCGTCGGAGTGAAAGAGGCAGGCAAAGATGCTCAAGAGCCGCCAAGGAGGAGGAGAAAGATCGTGAAAGCGATGCTTTTCGGTGAACCAGAAGGGCGACTCGTACTTTTTTCCCCTTCCCCCAATCATTTTGCTATATGGGAAATTGTATCAAAAATATAATATACAATGAGAGCCTCTGAGAAGTGGGTGGTGGAATCTCTTTTGCCGCGCTTCCACAGCCCCGGAAGGAATAAATTCACGTTTCACGAGAGAAAATAGAGCCACATTGTCTTATTTATTGAGGGAATTCGCTAAAATATTGGCTCACGATTGCCTTGGATACTATGGCAAGACTCTATACCGTTTTTCGCCTATGATTTGGAGAAGTGGAAAAGGACACACGTGAAAAACATCTCCCGACGAAGAAGTAAAATTGAGTGATTATTCACAAATAATCTCTGCGTG